ACTGCTCCGGGTGTGTGTTCACGGTGTGTGTGTGTTCACTGCTGTGTGTGTGCACTTTGAATGGGATAAATGCAGAGCACTAATTCCTAGTATGGGTCACCATACTTGGCCACATGTCACTTTCACTTCACTTCAATTGGTCAAAAGTCTGGCAACATGAGTACGGTAATATTTTAGTGAGTACCTTATTATTCACTTGATTAAAATGTACTTGTTGCCTGTACATCCCTTCATTTTCAACTCATCTTCACATCCTCTTCACCTCATGACTGTCTGTCTCTGTCACCTTGTTAATAATAGATGTGATTTGATGTCACATTTTAGCACTGAGTCCGGGCCAATCAAACAGAGCAGACGTGTATTCACGTGTTCTGCTGAATCACGCTCACTTAGTTTCAGCTCAGCACCTCATCTTCACCCTCGTTCCTCTCACTTCCTCTCGCTAATTTAATTAGGAAACAAAGCGATCCTTTTCATAAGAACTGAGTGATGGACACCTCTCAAGTAACCTAGTAATCATAACTGAAAAAGAACAGGTTCACAACACCGTCTCCGAACCACCTCATCACTTTGCTTTTCTTTCCTGAGTCCTTTCCTTTGTCTGCTTCCTGTTGCTTTATATGTGCTGAATTAGTGAAGATTAAGTTATTTTACACTATGTTGGTCACTATGCTGTTGCTGTGGCAACAAAGTACCTTTTTTATTTGTAAAAATGAAGTGCTAGTGGCTGGATTCAGACAAACCTGATTGCAATAGAGATTTTTAAAAGACGTGTTTTCATACAAAGGTCAATATGATATTGGTTTTCTTTTTTTGAACTTGTGTATTTTTATATGACTTTTGTGGCTTTTAGTTCATGTCTGTTAGTTTGAAGTCATCTGAATGCTAGTGATGTACTTTTAGCTAATATATAAGCTTTTTGATATTTTCTGCCCCAACTTCATGTTTCATTAGAAAGTAAAAGTACACAGGTAAGGCTTGCAAAAAATGTGTTAGTCAAACCATTTCATGGAGTCTAATAGCATTTTTTTTATCTCTTATGAAAAAATCTCTTTGTCACCTCAGAATTCAATCTATTCCTTTGGAATAAGATGGTACTTTAAGAAGATCACTCATGGTGTGTCAGGCCGAGCTGCCCCTTGTCAGATCATTCGGTTTTTCTTTGTTAATTTTTTATTTATTTATTTTTTGTCTCCTGTAGGGTGAGAAGGATTGGAAAAAGTATGAGGTGGCTCGCAGACTGAAGACATGAGTGGATGCCATCCGAGCCCAGTACCAGAAGGACCTCAAGTCCAAACAGATGGGCATAAAAAATTTGTTTTACCTTTATTTGCGCTCAGCTGCTAGAACTTGTTTGCTTGCGTAGGTTTCATAATGTAAATGAGAACATCTGAAAGAAGCTCATCAAGTGAAAATGAATTGGTTTCTGAATATCTTGCACATTTATTTGGCGACGGCAGACTCTGCAGAAATGTCAGATATAATTGCAGGTATGGTGAAAACCAACCCCCACTTCCTCATCATCCCATTATAGGCATAATGAATAAAAATGAATGCCTTTGGAACTTTGTGCCACATGATCTGGAGCTGATCTTTGGTTTTAGTTTCATTACTGTCAATAAGCTGTTATTCCTTTTCTGTTTTTAGTAAAATAACGAATCTGAAACTACATGTTCTGAAACGGCACCAACACAGTCATACATTTTTCATTCTGAGGGATACGATTCTCGAGAGACTTGCATCATAAGAGCTCGCACTAAAGAATGGTAGTATTTCTTTTCAGCCTGTTTTTTTTTTTAAATATATATATTTAATTCTTAATTTTTGCAGCTGAAAGATTCTGCCCTCACTGAAGGACAGAGAGACGAATTTTGAGAGAACATTTGGAAAACTGTTTGTGTGTGTGTGAGATAGAGAGAGAAATGTGCCCTTTCAGTGAGGTCAGGTTGGTAATGGCGGGCCATCGTGGGGAGGGAACGTTAATCTGTACTTTGGGCTCTTCCGATTGACTCGGCGAAAGGCCGAGCGAAGGGGTGAATGAGGGAGGATGCGACAGAGTAATTCTGGCCCTCTTCCACAAAGTGCTGCAAATCTTAATGCATGCTGCTGTGCTTTTAAGCTTGTGTGCACAAGTGTGGGCATACAGTATATGATCAGAAAAAAATAAGTGTCTTTAACTTGGCTGAACACTCAATAGAACAGACGCTGTTTTATATATTACACAGTTGCAATCATTTACCGAACTATCTAAACATTTTAATGAGGGAAAGCTTGCATAAGAGGATACGAATGGGGTTTTTAACTCACCTATTACATGTTCCATTACTTTCCTTTACTTTTTTTTTCTACACGTACAATAAAATGGGAGAAGATATACCATAAAAGTTTGTCATTTCCACATCACTTTCCACTGTTTTGTCTCTTCTCTTCATATTCACACAATGGCAAAAAGGTCAAAAATTAATGCCTTTGGAACTTTGTGCCACATGATCTGGAGCTGATCTTTGGTTTTAGTTTCATTACTGTCAATACGCTGTTATTCCTTTTCTGTTTTTAGTAAAATAACGAATCTGAAACTACATGTCCAGGTGTCTGAGGCTACATAGGAAATGTGGCATTAAAACCTAATTTTAGAAATGGAAAATAAAAAGAAATATTTAAGATTCTGCACAATTTTTAACTCACTAATTAAATAATGAAATTTGTGACATTGATCAGGTAACTGAGCAGTTTTACTTCCATTGAAGTGCAAGATGCTTTTTCAGATCATCTCAAATCATGCTGGAGAACATGATCATCTGGTTTTACACAAACTTGTGGAGTTCATGCAGCTCAAGTGCTGCTGTCATTAATGCAAACAAATACTAAGACACAGTGGAATTCACATTAATGTCCCAATTCAACTTTTCACTCAAACTACACTCTTAATAATAAAGGTGCTTCACGATGCCATAGAAGAACCTTTTTGTCTAAATGGTTCCATAAAGAACCTTTAACATCTGAAGAACCTTTCTGTTTCACAAATGGCTTTGTGGTGAAAGAAGGTTCTTCAGATTATAAAAAGGTAAGAAAGAGATGGTTCTTTAAAGAACCTTTGACTGAATGGTTCTTTGTGGAACCAAAAATGGTTCTTCTATGGCATCGCTTGAAGAACCTTTTGAAGCACCTTTATTTTTAAGAGTGTATCCTGGATATTTTGTGATATCCAGATTGTAGCTGTTCTATAGCACATGATGGAAAATGGTTTTACATGGTTTCTAGTTACAGCTTGCTGGTCATGAACTGGTCCAAGCTGATCTAGATAATGCATTAGCTGGAATACCAGGTTGTGAGGCTGAAATCAAGCTGGTAGACCGTAATTGAGCTAGTTAAAGCAGTTAGTCCACCTTTCACCAGTAACATAACTGTCACTATGTTCAAAAAACCAGCATATCCACCTTAAGTTGATGAGATACAGATTTCCATAAAGGTCACAGACTTTTTTACAGAACAAAATTGTTCTAAAGACATGTTTTGTAGTATTTCACATACTTTTAAAAGCACCGTCTCACTTAGCTTATGATCTGTCCGATTAAAACAGTAAAAAAAGAGGAAGTGCCCAACTATGCTCAAATGTCCATATCACATTATTAAATGAAATTTTGTCAAATCTACCAAAACTGTCCTACTTTTGCACACCTCACCCTATCATTAAAAAAACACAATGCTTTACAAAAAATTCCATTGATGTTGATCAATAATTGAGCTTAATGTAATGACCTCTCTGTGTATATTTCATTCTAATTAGATTCCCTCCGTTTCCTGAAGGATGCGGTAAGTGAGACTAAATGAACTAGGAACGTGATACTGTCAGCTCAGATAATCAGCCTCGCTGGCTCTGCCCAGATTCAAGATGTCACAGATATTTGACCAGCTACATAGGAAATGTGGCATTAAAACCTAATTTTAGAAATGGAAAATAAAAAGAAATATTTAAGATTCTGCACAATTTTTAACTCACTAATTAAATAATGAAATTTGTGACATTGATCAGGTAACTGAGCAGTTTTACTTCCATTGAAGTGCAAGATGCTTTTTCAGATCATCTCAAATCATGCTGGAGAACATGATCATCTGGTTTTACACAAACTTGTGGAGTTCATGCAGCTCAAGTGCTGCTGTCATTAATGCAAACAAATACTAAGACACAGTGGAATTCACATTAATGTCCCAATTCAACTTTTCACTCAAACTACACTCTTAAAAATAAAGGTGCTTCACGATGCCATAGAAGAACCTTTTTGTCTAAATGGTTCCATAAAGAACCTTTAACATCTGAAGAACCTTTCTGTTTCACAAAAGGTTCTTTGTGGTGAAAGAAGGTTCTTCAGATTATAAAAAGGTAAGAAAGAAATGGTTCTTTAAAGAACCTTTGACTGAATGGTTCTTTGTGGAACCAAAAATGGTTCTTCTATGGCATCGCTTGAAGAACCTTTTGAAGCACCTTTATTTTTAAGAGTGTATTATGCTGATAATATAATTTGTCATGAAAATTGTGCACTAGTGGTCTGAGAGTTTTGGACCTGCTTTATTAGGGTCAGTGTTGAATGTTTGATCATGTTAATTTTGATCTCCCCTCAATGTGCTTATTAGACGGGAAGGTCAGCATATGAATCAATCATTACTACCATACGACGGTGTTAAATTGGGGGAAAATGTTCCAGAAATATAAATTCTGTCATTGCTTGGCGAGTGGTCGGTTTATTTTCTTCTTCATGCATTTGGCTCAAGGATAAATTGTTATTCAAATGAGACCGATTTAAAAGCACCAACATCTGCTACCATTAATTAGTTCCATGCATATTTTAGCTGGTTTATTTAGTAGGAGTGGAGGAAAACAGGACTTCTGCAAAATGTAAAATATAATTGAGAGTGCCTCTCCCTCTCTCTTTCCTCTCCTCTCCTCTAAACCTCTGTTCTGTGCATATGATAAACAATCTAACATGTGTTTTCTGTTTCAGGTTTTCAAAAACCTCAAGCTTTTCATGGAGAACAAGCAAGAAGGAGACGACCTCTTTGATCGATTCGATGTGAGTGTAATGTTCTGAAACGGCAGCAAAACAGTCATAGATGTTTCATTCTGAGGGATACGATTCTCGAGAGACTTGCATCATAAGAGCTCGCACTAAAGAATGGTAGTATTTCTTTTCAGCCTGTTTTGTTTTTTAAATATATATTTCATTCTTAATTTTTGCAGCTGAAAGATTCTGCCCTCACTGAAGGACAGAGAGATGAATTTTGAGAGAACATTTGGAAAACTGTTTGTGTGTGTGTGTGTGTGTGTGTGTGTGTGTGAGATAGAGAGAGAAATGTGCCCTTTCAGTGAGGTCAGGTTGGTAATGGCGAGCCATCGTGGGGAAGGAACGTTAATCTGTACTTTGGGCTCTTCCGATTGACTCGGCGAAAGTCCGAGCGAAGGGGTGAATGAGGGAGGATGCGACAGAGTAATTCTGGCCCTCTTCCACAAAGTGCTGCAAATCTTAATGCATGCTGCTGTGCTTTTAAGCTTGTGTGCACAAGTGTGGGCATACAGTATATGATCAGAAAAAATAAGTGTCTTTAACTTGGCTGAACACTCAATAGAACAGATGCTGTTTTATATATTACACAGTTGCAATCATTTACCGAGCTATCTAAACATTTTAATGAGGGAAAGCTTGCATAAGAGGATACGAATGGGGTTTTTAACTCACCTATTACATGTTCCATTACTTTCCTTTACTTTTTTTTCTACACGTACAATAAAATGGGAGAAGATATACCATAAAAGTTTGTCATTTCCACATCACTTTCCACTGTTTTGTCTCTTCTCTTCATATTCACACAATGGCAAAAAGGTCAAAAATAATGAAAAAGGCTAACTATTATTATATACAAACTAATATGCATGTCTACTAATTATAGTCTTATCCCTATAATACAGCTGTAGAGCTGAAAAGGGACATTTAGTCATTTTTATGAGGATGTCCCCAAAAGTAGCTTGTGAGGTTTAGCTAACATTTGAGGGACATTTTTCAGCAGTTGTGTTCCCAGAAGTATAGTTCGGTTAAAAACAGACACACACACACACACACACACACACACATATATACACATAAACTCTTACCTGTGTTGCTTTGAGTCATTGGATGTCCTAGCCCAAATGTCACATTGTTCCCTGGTGAACAGTGTCGAACAGACCGACATGTTCAACATGCATCAAGTGTCTTGCCATCCGCGTGTCATCAGACGGCAGTGCGTGTGCTGAACATTAGCAGCGGTTGACATACTAGGACACAGCTGGTGTCATTAGCATATAGTATCTTTAAAGATATCACATCTAGCTTTATTAGAATGCAGAGGTATGTCTGTACTTGTATCGTCTTCCCCTGGATCGCACAGTTTCTGAAGTAAATATTTGAATTTTTAGTACTTTGGTCTTAAAGGAAAAGTGAGAAAGGGTTTTACTTAAAAGGTTTTCGAATGAGTGTGATGTGGGCACACATCAGACAGTTTGTTGGTTGCATAGCTTGTTTTGAGCCCTTTTTAAGACACACATCTTTTAGTCATTCTTGAGAAGTGGGACAAAACAGGGTGCAAAATTGAAAAAATAAAACCTTGTACTCAGACAAATGAAACTACATTTATGTATCTTATGTGTACTAAGCTACTGAGCTAAGCTTTGATACAACCTCCCAACTTTTCTCTTTTTTGACAAAATGTGCTTTTTTACCTTGGACTGTGTAATATAATTTCAACTTTATCTTTAACAGCATTCAAGATGTTTTTAACATTTCAAAACACATTCTCGTGTTAGCAGACAGATTACACTTTCACATGTGACCAACAATTCCACAACAAATATAAAATATCAATGAAATATTATCAAAATATTCAACTGACAGAGGTGACAGAACTGACAGAGTTGACACATCTGACGGTGGTGACGAAAACCGGAATTTGTAGTAATTTTAACTAATCTCATACATTGATTCAGTCAATTACTGTATTAAAACAAACACAACAAACAGTGAGTATGTTATTGTTTATAAAGCTTTTATTCAAGAGTCACATTTAAGTATTTTGATATATCATTGGAACACAAAACCTTACGGTGGTGACATCTGACGGTGTTGACAAATTTGGCATTTCTTTCACAAAACCAATGGAATTCATGTAGTAGCCATTTAATTTGTTTCTGTTGATGCTAGATGCTAATGGAACCTGCTTCAGGAGAATAAAATGATCTAAATATTTCAAATAATTTCCTCACAAATTGGAAGATGGTGTTGACATATCATGGCTGTGACAAAGGAAATATTAACATTAGGATTTAAAATATTCTAAAACTATAAAATTTAGCAGAGCCTGTCTGACACTGATGTACTCTGCAGAGGTGAACTGTGGCAAGGGGGTCCTTTAGAGTGACCGCTGCCCCTGATATTCCCTGATTTTATTACATTTTATTGAATGTCTGACGGTGTTGACAAAAATTGGGAACTTTAAAATCTTATGAAACATGCATGTGTCATTAAAAAACAACCTTGCTATGATAGGAGATATTATTAAGTGTTGCTTTTGATAAAACAAGCTATTTTTCATCATTAAAAAAAAATGTGTATGCATTTGATTGCATATGAATGATTGAACCCTTCTCTGTGGACACACTGTTTTAGATGTAGTGAGAGGACATTAAGAAACAGATTTGGTATAATAATGTGAAAATGAAATTGAAGGTGATAATTGTCTTAAATATATTCTATTATTAATCTCTCATGACATTTAAAATTGAAAATATTTGTATTTTTTAAAGCTAATAGCAGTTACCCCTTGCTGGACCTGTTTTGTCCCACGTCTCAAGAATGACTGGTAGGCAGATATGTTTTCTTTATGTCTGGAACATACAACCTATACTACTGCACTCCCAAATCCATTAAAGTTGGAACAAATGGTCTGATATCTTTGGAAGAGGGAAAAAAAGACTTGCTCTTTTAGACATCTTTTTTTGCGCATTTATTTCTAGACAATAAAGACAACAGCGCTATCTTGTGGTTAACAGTGAAGCTGGATAGTAAAATATGATTTCTCCCTGTTTGTGTTTGAATGCTATCTTTAATGTGTAGTTTTTGCCTTTAAAGACTCAACTGCTGAATAAACACCTGAGTTCCCTCATGCCAGGATTGACTGCAAAGGTTTTTTTTGCTTCTCTTTCTCTCTCCTATTTTCTTTCGCCATTCTATCAGTCAAATTTCAAATGAATAGTACAACTTCCAGATGTTCAGTCATGGCATCAGTATGGATTTATGTTGGAACATTTGCTAAAACGCTTGAATATGATGCCAATATGGATTGCTGTCAGTGTTCAAAACAACATTGTACATTTTGACAACTCTGAGTCCACAGGGACATACAGATATTGTTAGTATGACAGTGTGACCAAACTTTATGTAAGCAACATAATCAACAAAGTCTCTACTTTAGCTGCAGTTTCACGTCAGTGTATGAGTCCTAGGGATGGGCGGATCGATCCTTAAGTATCGATACTTTCGATACTGATGTTGTATCGAAAGGATCGATCCTCACATAAAAATATCGATTCTGAAGTGCATTTTTTTAAACATTCATTTTATTTACTCATCAAGAAATTCGGTGCATAAAATAAGCTTCTAAGTGGAAAAACAGACTATATTAGCGAATAATTGTGTTGGATAGAACCATTTCTCCTGCTCATCTGAACACAAGAAAATGCTGAAAGACAGAACCAACCAATAACAGACAGCGTTCGCTGCTGACGCAGAGTGTTTGTTCAAATAGGGCTGCATTTCCCAAAAGCATCAGAAGCATAAGTAGATCTTAAGAAGCCATTGCCACATTATTACATTACATTGCATTGTTACTATATATCAAATTAATTCTGAAAAATGCATCAGTCTCTATCTCTCTCTCTTGCTCTGTATAGGTGTGTTAATGTATCATTCTTACTACAGCAAGGGCAAACCGTGCGGTTGCAATTCTATATAACTATCAGCGGGCACCGCCAAAGACCTTCGAACAATCCCTGGCTAACCTGCAGACAAAGGTACTGGAGATATGAGACTGAATAATGAAAAAAATCATTTTAATATCATGAAAAAAGCATTTGAATATGATGCTGTCTTATTACATTTTTTTTCTCTCTTCTCTTCTTTTTTTAAGATTGACAGCAGGAAGGACCAGCTGCACTTGGCTAAGAAAGAGCTAAAGCAGGCCAAGAAAGAAGCCAAAGGGAGCTCAGACAACAAGCTGCTCATGTCGGTATCTCATTCCAGGCATCTGAATAAGGGGACATTTGTTTGCTCTTCCAGCTATTAGAATCCTTTTGTAGATGAATATGATATACACATGTATAAAGCATTTTATGTGTTCAGGGTGGTTGAGAAGAAGAAGAAAGCTGTGCAGAGGTGTGAGGAACAGCTGCTGAAGATGGAGGTTCAGGCTACAGACAGAGAGGAGAACGAACAGATCGCCCTGAGCACCTCCAAACTCAACTGCCTGGATCCACGCATCAGCGTGGCCTGGTGATGATGTTACACTCAAATACACAAACATGCTACACAAGAATCCTCGTTGTATTTCATATTAGAATATGTTCAGTGTTTCTTTACTTTATTTTCTGCTTCTAGGTGTAAGAACATGGAGGTGCCACTGGACAAAATTTACAACAAAACCCTAAGGGATAAGTTTGCCTGGGCTATCGACATGACTGAACATGACTTTGTGTTCTCAGTGTGGTTTGTTTATCTTCCAATATACCCCAGTATTTTATACAAATGTACATTTTAATTGAATCCGTTAACTGAATTGTGCAGCCACGTTTTAATGTTGGCCCTTTTATATTGTTCAGTTTTTCAGTTTTTATATTAATCAAATTCACATGTTCTAAGTTATTTTAAGAAAGTTCAATAAATGTTCTTCCTTTGTAGGGAAATCCCTAGTCACTTTTTTTTTTTACTGTTACCACAAAAGCTTTTTGGGAGACAAGACTCAAGAAATATCTGGGTTATATTTCACCCCAAAATCAGAGAGAAAAAAAGGAGAGTATAAAAAAAAGAGAATTAAGGTTAACAATAAGATGTTTTTATTTTTGCATTGTCACAAATATGTTCAAAATATATGGTAATTCTCATTAAAATAATGTGGAAAAAATAATACAGTAATGAAAATCATCTGGGCCTGTTCCAGGTTTATTAGATTCTGTACAACATACTTCCATGATTCACAAATGCGTTTTTATTATAAATCTAATGTAAATTATTCATTTAAAATATTACTTATTTTGGGGGAAACTGCTCATGGTTTGACCTTTTTTTGAGACTGATCTGTTTCTTTGTCCAATATAATCTACCAGTATATACCAATACAGGTCTTTTTTCCCAGAGTCCAGATTCAAAAATAGATTTTTCTTGGGTTGGGAGTCTTATCAAGTGATTTAGTCAAATTTTAGCTTAAGCCATTGATGTTCCGCATTATGCGGTAGACCTTTGATAGTGGTATTGTTTCAAATTGCATGTAAAGGTGTTAATCATCATCTTACCCAGCTTAAATATTGATCAGATATAAACAAAGTGATTTACATTTCTAAGAATTCAGTCAGTTTTAGCTTGAGCGTATTTGCCCCAAGAGATTTTGCATGTCAGCATATGTTCCTTTGATATATTTAACTTAATTGCAACTGCTAGAGAGGAGCAGGTGAAACAGTGAAAGATAGTGGTGTTACAGACTACTCAGTTTGGCTTAAGTAGGCTATACCAGTAAAGAGAGATAAGGACACAGGTTTTAAGAAACAACTTTAATTCAACAACAAATTCATTTTAACAGGAATGGTGTTAGGTTGGCACTCGGGCTAGTGCTATTACAGTAATGCAAGGATCGGTTCTACAGTTGGATGTCGTGTTTAAAAAGTTCTTTGCAATCCATTGCAGAAAAAGGAGGGGGGAAAAGAGAGTAGCATACAGTCACAGTATTAGGACTGACTTTAATTCCTTCTAAATATTAAAAAAAAGCATCACATCAAACCAAAATATGTTAGTCACCATAGAGAAAATGTTGCTGCTCCTGAAGAGTGTTTATAGTTTCTTCTACGCAGCATTCTGTGAAAGATAACACTGGATCAGGGCAATGCATTTTAATATAGTATACCAGAATGAAATGCATTTCAAATTTCCATTTAGAATCAGACATTCACAACTGGTTTCAGCTAAAATAGTTTAATCGATAGAAATAAGAAACTACCTCTACTAGGAAGCCTCTCCCTCTTTGACCTTGTTCTCCCCTTCAATCTCTTCCACTCCTGCCTGAGTCATCAGGTCTGCTATATTCTTCTCTAGATCATCGATGCGGGTGCTCATTTCATCAAGTGAATCTTATTAAGGAAGATAGGATCAAGTATAGGTAATACCACTGTTTAAATCCACAGGCATTGAGCGCATAGCTAAAGCAATATCTGCTTGGTAGATTTTGACTAAACAAAATTTGTTTTCTCTACACCTGCATAGTACCGAGTTAAAGCATGTATGCATTTGTAGATAGTTTTATGAACCTGGCCACGGGGTGAATTTTGGTTCTGTGAAAAAATTCAAACTTCAAAGTATCTTGATTTAAAGGTGGGGTAAGCGATTTCTTGTAGCCAATGTTGACATTTGAAGTCACCAAAACAAACACGCCCTACCCCAAAAGTGTCTCGCCCCTATTTTGATAGCTCCACCCCACACATACGTACGCAACCCAGGCAATGATTAGTTCTGTGAAACAAAGCAAAACTGCTGCTGCGTTCCATTCATGACGCATTGACACAAATTTAAAATGATTTTCAACGGTCGCTTTGTCGCGTTCAGTATACTAGACAGACTTTAGCTGTTGCGGCGCAGACACGGTGTTACTCACCTATCGAGAAGAAACAAAGCAATCTCGGCGTCCGATCCTTGAGTTTTCTCCAGCGCTTAAAAGCTGATCCGATATTTACACTGGTCCTACTTCTTGCCTTAATTCTTCTTTTGTTCCGCAGACGTTTTCCTCTTTTGTTTTTTTATCCGCCATCTCTATCTTTCTGTCGCTCGGCTCAGCTAATGTCCATCCCGTGCACTGAACGCGCTCTCCTCCACATCCTGAGTAGACACGCCCCTTACTGCTGATTGGCTACAAGTTTGAGTATTCACTAAATAGCAACTAAACACATTTAAAGACCTCTAAACAGCTTGCTGTGATATTGAAATTACCTCTGGGACTACGACCGCCCCACTGAAAAATAAATTATACAGCTATACTAAAAACAAGAAAGGATATTTCTCCCGATGATCTGGTCTGACATTGTCTGGAACTTATCCTGCATCTGCTGCAGCAATGTCTGTACCTGTTAGGGAGAAACATTGTTAATCCGACGTGTAAAAATGCATAAAGATATGCAAATAAATAAAATAAAAAGATAAAAACAAATAAATCCGCTTGTTTAAGTCACGACAACTATATTCTCAGGAAAAACATCTAATATTAAATATTAAACGACGTTTACGTCGCATCAAAATAATCCAAGTAGAACACATAAACAGGGCCTAGCATTAGCCTAGCTTAGCAAACCACAAAAATATGTCGTTTATTATCAAACCTACCACTGCTGTGAGATCCTGCACTGATTTTGGGTCTGTCTCTGCCATATTTTTCAAATAAATAATCTGTATAACAGCAAATAGATGTTTATTCTTCTCTAAATTGTGTATCTTCCCAGCTCTTTGCCTTTTTCTGATCAGCTGTTGGATAAATCACGGAGTCGTGACAAATATCGCGAGATTTTCGAGACCTCTAAGGGAGAGATTCCCTTTGCTGCAGGCAGGCAAATCAACCTCTGGCGTGATCAAACGATGCACAGTCATTTCATCTATTAAAACCAGTGACAGGTTACAACAGGATAGGACAGAATTTATAAACATAATTCAGCTGATTTTGTTGCGAATTACAAAAATAGTTTAGGGTTTTTTTGCCCCATTTCAGGTGCAGAGATTAGCTACCAAAGTCTGGCCTTTCAGGCAAATTTTCAAAGAAAACAGGCATAGGTAGGTTAATGGGTACATAGAGTGAATGATAAATTCTTTTTTTTAAGTTGTTGTGGGTAAGTTGTTTATTTGTTCAATTTATACATGGTAGCCTATGGCTTACAAAGGACTTTGTTTTGTTTTGTTTTTTTCGTCATAGTATTTTTTTTATTGAACTTTTTAAATTACAGAATTCAACAGCAAATTCTTGACATTTCTCACATTTAGACATTTTGCAAGTACAAATTTAAACACCATTTAGATAAAAATAGAAATAAAAAAATTAACGGGCATCACAAACATAGGCCTACCTTAAATTATTTAGCAGAGAGACAGTTCTTTGGGCTTTTCGATTTTTTTATTATTTATTTTTTTAATAAATAAACGACAGCGGAAAGAACATGAGCAGAAGTGGATACTGGATTTTAAACAATTCGCTTTTACTAAATTATTCTTAAGTGTGTAGGCCTACTAAGTCTTAAGAATAGCCTAATTGGTAAATAGCCTACTATAAACAGGGTTTAGCTTCACTGGGATATTATGAAGGAGTTTAGCTATTCAAATGAGTAAAACAGTTGCCAGAAATAAACTGGCCAAAATACAAGCCACCATCCAAGAATTTGGTCCCTTATGTGATGAAACAGGTTTAACAGATGAAGAAGCTCAAAATCTCATAAAATTACAAGAGGATTGAAATAGCATACACATTAGGCTATATGACGGATTTTAGGCCACTCTCTCTCGGCCAAAGTAACGTTGTTTTGTTGTTGCCATGTTTTACCGTTCCTATACTCTAAACCTCAAAATGAAGGCAATGGGAGTAGCGCTACTCAAACAAATATTTGGTTAGATCTCGTGGTGTTCCCTGTTTATTTTTTATTTTCTTCCTTCCTGTTCCTCTGGATGCCCACATCTCCTAACTGCATCACGGCGGTAAAGTTAGTTTGACGTTTGACATTCATTAGACATTCGGGTTTTTTGCCAATTAAACTCTTTGCAGCTTTTATGTTTTGAGCCCAAACTAACTCAGATAGACATAAATATATGCCATCTATGTTGCACAAGGCTTAATTTCTAGGAATTAAAAAAAAAATTAACCATTTAAATTAATTAAACAATTTAACTACGTGATATTATAATATAAAACCAATACTAAAATGTTCGGGAAAACATATCGCACAAAGCTCCGTTTTTGGAATTACAATTTTATGTTTTTTTATAATAATTTTACAACTTTTAATGTATGCAATAATATAAATGCATTAAACGACAACACCGTTTGATCTAAAGGTATCAAACAAACTGTAAAATATTCAGAATAATATTCCCTATAATGCACAAGTCTTGGTTTTCCAGATTATGCCTTTACTGTTTTTATATACAGTACTGAATCCATATTTGTCACGTTTTATTTACTGTACCCACTTAAATTAATTAAACTCTGACACCGTTTGAGA